TCCAGGAATTGAATGTGAAAGCTTCAGGACAAGACGATTTGTTTGCAAAGTCACTGCTGAATCGGTCCTTAATATCGACTGAATGAGACGAATTGACTTCAGGGAATATAGAACCCATTTTTGCTCAATATACCACTTTTCCCTCTTTTTTTTTATTTTTTTTTTTTTATATAACTCCAGAACCAGGCTGCTCTGTACTGAAAACAACCATCACACTGATAAAAGATACAAGCACGCGCAGGCGCCATCCAATTGCACAACTCGAAAGCTGCCTTATCTCTCCATTTGCTTTCCTAAACCCTGTAAACACCAAACGGAGAAGCGATGCAGGAGGAAACTGGGAGGATTTCACTGCAAATAGCGCTGTCGCACTCCAGGACGGCCGCTTTCACACTTTCTGTGGTCAGAGAAATAAAAAACCAAGCACTTTTGGTACCTGATTCACCTGAATATCTGAATTTCCACCCCAGCATCCAAAACTGAGGGTGGTTGCAGACCCGGCCGCGATCCAGGAGCGTTATTTTGACTATCCAAAGTCCGAGTCTGTACGCTGGCTATTGCTCAGCACGGGCTGTGCAGGCAGCCTGGGCTGAAGCTGAAGATAAGGCTTTTCCTAGGAAGAGTCAGCAAAACAGTGGATAATAAAATAAAAAAGGGAGTTACCTGTGTTTTGGATACCAGGCAAGGCTTTCCTCCCCGTTAACCTAATCTCAAGACACCTACCTGTGTCCACAGAGCGTCATCAGACACCAGCACTAAACATTTTTTAAGTCTTTAAATAAACCCATGCCCGGCTGAAGCCCAAACAGGAGTAAACTTGCATCAAACTGTGCCTGTAATTTCTGTTCTGTAATACTCAGACCTGCGTAATATCAAAGAGCTGCCAAAAAACCAGCAGCCCTCAAGGCAATACTCCAGTGCCAGCTCCAAATACTCCGCAGCCTTTTTATTTGAGGGTAAAACAAACACTTTGCTACAGCAGAGGAACTTCTGCAAGAGTTGCTCTGATTTTAAAGCAAGAAAATACAGAGAAATCAGTTGTTTTAACAAAACCAATGGGAAACGAGGACAAACATGATGAGCAAATAATGTGGTCAAACTGGTTTGCTGCTCCAAGCGGAGGATTTCTGATATTTAAGGGAGGGGAGGACACGGATGAGCGACATCCCCCAACCAAAGTCAATGGTGAAGCTAAAACTGGTGTTAAACCTGGCAGAACCTACTCAAAAATGGGTTTGGTCATTATAGATGAAGTAACAGGTACTTTAGTCCATGTCAGGCAAATATAGGTATCCAACAGGAAGGCAAATCCAATGTAGGAAGCCAAGAATCCTGCTTAAAATAAGGAGGAACACCTTATAATGTAAAATCCATTTTCAGAAAGTACTTTGCTTAACTTTCTCCTGCTTTTGGTATTCCTATATATAGTATAATCTATAGTTCCTCTATACCCTATAGGTAAATTCCCATTTGAATCTGCATCTGAATCAGATTTTCCCCACTTTTCCAGCAAGTGATGTACTGATACTTGAAGTTTTTGCTAAAGCAGAGACTAATTTCTCATTCTTCAGACAAACAGAACAAACTTCACCCTGTCCCAACCAGCAGAAGCCTAATTTAAAATTAATAACATTGATTTAATAGAGAGTAAACTGCTTAAACGTGGTAAGTACAAGATTTATTTCAAGTCGTGGACCAGCTTACAGGCTGCAAGCACGTATTAGCACTCTGTAGCCTGGAAACAGTTTTCCAAAAAGAACAATTTAGCCTCAAATCCTTTAATTAACGGCAGAAGAAACGAAGTATCCAGCTACAAGCAAAGTTCTGCAGATTCCAAGAGTGCAAATAAGCCACAGGGATGGAAGAAAGTTTCAGGCTGTTTTCTGGCCAGGAGCTGCCGGTTGATGAGGTTTTACCTTGAGAATTAAGCAGTTTGTATCTGCGAGGGGTTTGGGCCCCCAAAATTGTCCTCCCCTAACCCCAATCAGACCCCACATCCCCCCAACCATCCTCATTCTTGAGTTTTAATATTTCTGCTATGGAAAGGCTCAGAAAATAGCAAAAGTTTATCTAAGATCAATTCAGGGCCCCAAGCAATCGGCCTCGGATCTTCAAAGCACACGAACCTCAACCACAAAGCGGGAGTCACAAATCCATCTCAACAAATTTCTGACGAACGAGCAGACAAAGCAACTGAAAAGCAAATCCAACGCATCTCAAACATCGAGCCTCAGTCGCCTCCGAGCAGCTCAGGGCACTGGGAGTCCCTCACGTGTCTGTATTTTAAGGGCACTTAGGCCAGTGGCACCAACCTTGGCGACAAGATTCAACCCCAAATGCAGCCACGGGGTCTTTCAAAGCCACCTGAAAGCAACTTGACTCCTCGTGTGTTCCCCAAAATCACTATTTTTTTCCCCCATGTACAGTCACGCTGCACTCTGGAAACACGGTCTGGGCTCACAGTACGAGGCTCAGAGTCTGACATGACCCAATTGCGATGTCAATTCTTTTCTTTCAAGGATTGAGAAGCTAAAAAAAAAAGTTGCAAAAGGAAAACCAGATGCAAATACTGCAAAGTATTACATCAAAAAAAGAGGTGGTTTTATATTCAAATTTCTGTCTGGTCAAGAGGCTCAGTCTAACTGATCCCAGAAATTAGCTGTTTCCTTTCTCTTAATTGCAGAGACAGCCTTGAAAGACCTGAAAAAGCTCAAGTTTAGAAAGTATTTGCAGCTGCTAGTTTTGTTATTAGAACAAGTCTGATATGGACCCGTTAGAGGAGCGGGACTTTCTCCTCCTTCCCTCCCTCCCTCCGCACACTCACCCACGACCAGAAGCTATCTTTAGCATGAGGCTGAAGCCAGAAAAGCCAACTTTTAATCCATTAATTAGTAATTTAGTACCAACAATTCTCAGAGTTGAGCATATGAAGCCACTGCTGAGCTACAACATTTTATAAACCGTGTAAAAAATGAATTCAAGAGTTTATAGCCAGAGCAATCGACACCAACCTCAACATTTACCCAGCAGGGAAGACATTTCGTGCAGCAAGAGGCTGTGGTGCCGGTAGCGTGACTAACGCCCGGACAAGTCGGGCGACCTAACATGGAGAGCACATTTCTACTCCCACTGAAATTAAAATGGGAGCCAGCGACTCAGCGGAGAAGAAAACCCGGTGATCCACTTCAGGGTCAGCGTGCCCCAAGCACGAGCGCGCTGTTAGAGGAGAGCTGCAGGCAGCTCCAAGCTCCTGGTAAATTAAACGGGGATTCTTAGGAAGTCATCAGGCTAACGAGCAACTCCAACTCCCTTGTAAATCACTGCTGCTGACAGTACAGTAAGATTTCTCCGACGAGGTGGGGATGGACCTGTCCTCCTGGGTATGCTCAGGGCTGCGGGAAGAGACGATTACTCGGCACTGAGATGTTCCTGCTAACCCTTATCACAGAAGAAATTACTCATTTGAGCCTAAATTAGCTCACAGGTGAGCTCAGACAACTTGCAGGCCACATGACAAACGTTAACTGTGCTGAAGAGCATCAGAAACCTCCCCAAGATCTCAAGTTCCACAGGCCTTGGTTCAACCACAGCAACCCCACCACCGACTGGTCTGACCTTCCAACTGCCCGAACAAACACCCGGAATATTCCAGGGTGGAATATCGAGGCAGTTTTGGGCTCAAAGCCATTTATTAGTGTTTCTCACCCAGCAGGTGAGAAAGGCCCTCTCCATCCCAGAGGCAGGAGATGAGGAAGAGTAGAAGGAGCACAAACATCTACCACCTCAGCTCCAGTAAAAAGAAAGAGCAACCCTTCACAAATCCACCCGCCACACTTCCAAATCACACTCAGGAACACCTGTTATTCAAAATAATTTAAGACCCCCATCTTTACTAAGGACTTACTTTAAGTTGCTGTCTGTTCATCTCCTCTCTACCATTAAAAAGTTGCACCTCAGGTCTTTTCTGGGTTTAGGTTTTCTTTTTTTTTTTTTTTTGCAATCAATAAGATAATTCATCCCTTTTCCCACACTATTTTTCCAGTGCACTGAAAAAAACACCGGTGTGAACAGGTGGATCTTCCTCTGCTACAAGCTACCACGCACTCCTACCTTAAGACTCTTAAGAATTGTTAATCCACGGAGGGGTTGTCAACCTCCTTAAGTTTAGTTTTTAGAGAAAACAGTTAAACCTACACTCCTGAAGGGTGCCTCAGCACAGTTTAACAGGGCTTAAAATGAACATTTAGAAGACAATTTCCTTCTAAAAAAGTCATGTTGACCATAAGGATTACGATCCTATATTCAAATTGTGAGTCTAAAATAACCTCACCTTTATGCTAGGCTTTTTTAGAAGCACATTTTGGGCTTCAAACCTTTCAATATCAGCCTTGCAGTAACAACTATGCTTTGCCCCACAGCTGAATGCACGTTCCTCTTCAGCCCACGTCTGCAGATACCGAGACCACAACTGCTCAGCATCGCATTTTTCAGGCGCTATCAATAGTCCACGAGAGCCCAGGGCTCCCGAATAGCTGCCTTTCCTGGAGAAACCTAACTGGAGGCTGAGGTAAGAAAGGACAAGCCAAGGTCAGATCAAAAATAGCCTATGAAAGAAGGAAGAAAAAAAAAAAAAAAAAAAGAGAAGGCAAAACAAAAATGTTTTTGAAATGTGAAAAATGCAGTGCCCTTAACTGGTTCAATCTGTGCCGAGACTGAATAAAATATATTAAAACCAGCAGGACCGTTAAAACCAGTTAAAGGAAAGATGACAGACCCAGGAGGACATCAGCAAGACCTAGAAGTCACTCTGGGTGCTGTTAAGAGTAGTATTAGTTAAGCAAAGGCCTATTTTACTAACCCTTGCGCAGTTGCACGGCTCTAATAAAGCATCTCCCCCCAAAGCCGCTTCAAACACCCTGCCTTCGTAAGGACACATCCCTCTGAGCCGCCTGTACCTTCCAAGGGGCGTCAGAGGACACCAAAGTGCTCCAAAAATTCACCTTTTTACTCCTCGGGCTCTGCAAACGGTTGGAATTTTCCCCTCGGACTAGAAGAGCGATCGGCAGCTCTGCAAACAAACATCCGTCAACAGGCACAAGGTCAGTCCCATCTGTAAATACGTCGTCTCCGACTCAACGGCAGGAATAAGCGGCAATCTTGTTTTTCTTGTAACCTGATATGGTTTTTACAGGGAATTCTTCTGTCCAGGACAGCGTCCAGCCCTAAATGCAGGCAAGGAAAAGCAGTAAAAGGCTCTTCACTACCTTTATTCTACAACCAGACCCTGCTCCGTTACCTTCGTGCTCAGAGATGTCCTAGTTTACCAGTTCAGATGTTCAATTTTGCTAGCAACAGCATAATAAATCTTATTTTACCCCCTTTTCACTCTTTATCCTTCTTTCCCCCACCCCGTACCAGTGACTCCGCAGGCGTTCAAATGTGGAAAGCACCACTTCACAAGGAGAAAAATAAAATAAAAAAGTGATCAAACTCTGTCCTGCAGAGCAGCACCACACCTTTGCTCTTCCCCCCAGGGTGAAGCGGATGGTGCCCAAATTAACTCTAATTACACCCCAATTCAGTAGGAAAGGATCACGCCAGGGGTTTGGGAGCAGCATCAAGTTGGGAATCACCTCCTTAAATACACCAAAACCAATGGTGACGTTCAGTTTTGAGCTAACAGCGAAGCTCAAACCCTATTTTTAGCATTCATCCCTTTTCCCTGTCACCAAATTACTCCTGAGCTCCCCAAACCAGAGCCAGACGTTGAGTATCGAGCGCACCCGGACTCGTGCCACTCCGGTTTTACAAGTGGGGTCAGTGCATACACTGACATGCTGGAAATCCAGCTACAAATTAAAAAACAAAACAAAAAAAATCCAACCACAAACATCTCGGGTGACCTTTGGACCAGCGATCTGCACTCTAATCCCGTCCTCCCCCCAGCTGTATTAAACTCTGAACTCCGCAAAGTGACTTTACCTACACTCAGCAACGTAATAAAGACACAGCTTTGCTGCTTGGACCAGAAAAACAAAATATATTTGGGTTTGAGAGCCAGAGGGTTTGAGATTCTGCTACCAGGATGTTTGGGGCTGGCAAAAAAACCCACCTCTGGCACTGAAACCTTTAATTTCAGCATCAGCTTTGGCAGAACAAGTATTCCTTGTGCTAAGTTTAAGAAAATTATCACCAATATTATCTCTGCAATTCCCTTCCCCCTCCTCAGGAGGGGATGATATAGGGGAGAACCAGGAGCAGCAGGACTCAAAGGATTAGGTCAAGTGACTTAAAGGCAAGTGATTTAAATTGATTTTTTTCTGATATTCTTTCTGTAAATGGAAAATTAACACCTACTTGGCAGCATCCAGAGTCACTCAGGCCCTTGAAGTCCAGAGGAACAGGAAAAACCTTGCTTGAGACACTGAACTCCCTCCAAAACTGCAGCTGGGCTCTCTGAATTGGATTTATTATAGTTTCACCTTCCAAAAAAAGCTACTTGGAGACACTCTGAGCACAAATCTCCATCCCTGCTACACCACAGCCCATGCACACACACGTAATTAATGACGATACCACAAGCAGCGCAAACTCCTACTTTTGAGGCAGAAACTTGTTTGAACTGTAACCCGAGCAGCAGGCTGGGGTTCAGAGGCGCCTTCCCCGTCCCGTCCCGTCCCGTGAGGAACGGGCCTTCCAGCCCTCGGGCGCAGCCCAGCTGGGCGGCAGCGAAGCTGGTTTTCAGAGAGAGAAGAGATGCGAGCTCCCCGTTTAATCCTAAACGCGGCCATTTCCAACCCTACACAGCAACTCCCCAAGAGGAACTTTAAACCTAACAGCTTGATTCTGCCAAAAAAAAAAAAAAAAAGGTAAATCAAGGCTTTATGTACAAAATATGATGCCTTTAAAGATTTTATCAGTAGGAAGAAGAGGCAAAAGAGTTTTTCTAAGGAGACTAATTTAATTTGTAGCCTCGCTACAAGGCTGCTGTCTCAGCCAGCTCGCCAGGATGTTTCCGAGGCGGAATTGCTGGGAATTTCATCATCACCCTCCAGGGTTCGGCTCCGCAGAGGACCCAAGCTCACCCTGGCTCCCGGAGCCAACCGATAACTGGATAAACCAGCCTGGCAAAGGATCTCCAAAGCAGGGATGCTGGTAGCAAAGGGATTTCCTGACCCATTCACAGCTACTCAGCACCTAGCTCCTCTAAAAAAAAAAAGGAACCAGAATTTAGTGTTTTGTGTATTTTTTTGTAATTAAAATCAAGGCCTACCAGCCAAAAAAAGCAGAACTCCTATAAATTATGCTCCTTTAAAATGATACCCTTCCAAGAGTTCATATGTAAATAATGAAGAATGACTGTTTTCAAGTAGTTTATTTGGGGGGCGGGGGGGGAGAGGTGCACCGGGCTCAGGAAAGCTGGACCTATGAAGACAGTCTCACAGCAGACATTTAATTAAAGCAGGTTTTTAGCAAGATTGCAGCCCAACACAATTTTGTTGAGTATCTTCTATCTGATCAATCCCCAATTAACTAAAGACAACCCCACAGGTCTCATTTCCCATTGCTCCAGACTCATGCCAGTGAGGGGTGTAGGCGTGGTGTAAAAGGGACTTTGCACCACAGAGCTTCAAGCTCAGCCTAAAGCTTCAGGTACAAATCAGCTGAGCAGAGCCGGCCAGTCTCACAGCCACTCTCAATTCCCAGGGTTTCAATCACTGCCACTCAGTCCTGCCCCAAGGATATTGCTTTTTAAGGGTTATTCCTCTCACTTTAATACCTCTTCACATTAACATAAAAAGGGCGACTGGGTGATTAAGAGCTGTCTCATGACTTTCCAAGAAGGAAGGTGCTTCAGGAACATGGCTTTGTTCATCCTGCTTAATGTTTTGACTTGCTGCACTGCCCGTTCTCTGTAAAAAATGCAGGAAAAAAAAAAGAAGGTAGGCAACCCAAAGACTAGAAATTTGAACACATCTACCCAGGCTGGCTGAGTTTCTATCCCTGTGTTTAATTTACACAACATAAATCCGAAATGCTTCACTCTGGTTTTGCAAATTGAAAACACAGCTCAAGAAAAGATGGGCACAGCACAAATATTCCAGAAAAAGGAATTCTGTGTTGAGGACAGTCCCAGTGAAACGTCTCTGTGCAGAGTCCTTCCCGCAGGAGCAGGGGTCAGGGGGTTAAGCCAAGTCCAACTCCCAAAACCTCCACTTGAGCCAAGCACAAGGGAGGTGGAACCACAGCCTCTGGACCCTACGGCCCATCAGGAGCCCATGGAAGAGCCGTGCCCGTCAGATCACCTCCCTGCTCTCTCCCTAGAGACCAGAAATGGGGAGAAAGAAATTCAAGAATACACACTTATTTTGTGACGTTCTGGGGCCATTAAAGCTTATTTTTCTGGTGTGACGGAGCCCACGGCTGCTCTGGAAGAACGACCAGCAATGCAACCAGACAGAGAGAGATTTGGGGGGGCAGATGAGGAAAAGGAAGGAGAAGCGTCCAAAATTTCACCTGTAACCATCAACCAAGACTCCTACACCATGCATGGACAGGTTCCCTCAGCATCTCCTTTTCCTTTTTTTTTTTTTTTTTTTTTTTTTTTTTACAAAGGCAAATGGCCTAAACCCAAACCAAGGTGAAAACAAACTTTCTCCTTGCTTGCCTCAAAAAAAACCACCCACCCCACCCCACCCCCCCCCAAACTCCACAGTTATTCATCCAGCTGCGGTGGCACCCAGCTGCCCCGCTCTTCTCCCAGCCCAAAATAACCCCTCAGTGAAGGATAAAAAATAAAAATATAGTTCCCCACGTGGCTGCGTAGGTGTTTTTGAGGGAAAACGTTACCACCGAGAAAGCCCAGAGCAAGAGGAAATGGTTTAGATTAGGAAACACCCTTTGATATCCGAGTTCCTACGCCTCAGGTCTGTCCAGGGGAGGAAGGATCCGCGTTATCGAGCGATAACGTCCGTCCACACGAATCGCGAGGCGTGGATTTGCTGCAGAGCAGGCAGACACCCTCCCCGGGGAGAGATCGCCTGTATTCCACTAAAATTAAGTATTTTCAGGGTTCAACTAATCTTACCTAAAGTTGAGATCTACTTGAAAATGAACCAAGTTGTGCTTGCGACTCCAGCAAACAGAAAAGGGTAAAAAGCAATGCTTGCTGTGCACCACTTCCGCTTCTTTTTAACCCAAGACTTCCCCCAGAGACCGCAGCTCGGCAGAGGCGCAGGGCTCCGGTTATCTGCAAACTCCTTCCCTCCGGAGCTCCGGCTCTGGCCAAGTCTTGGGGTGAGAATATCCCCGGAGCCCCAACATCTGTGGGCCGAGTGCCTCTATAAGCACAGGTTTTATTAAAAAAATAAATCAAATTGCGCATTCCTGAGCCAAACATCAAACCTTTTTGCTCATGTTGTAGAAAATAAACTGCAAAAGCACCTCAAATATCCATTTTTTTTTTCCCATAGCATTCTACCTTCCTACTCCTCCACTCTTGTTACCATTAATTTTTACCGCAAGGATTCACCTTTCGAGAAGCGGCTGCTACTGATGGGGGGGGGGGGAAACCCATATTGCAAACGTTGTGACAGTCCACCAGATTACAGCTCATTAAATAGTTCATTTATTGCAGCTTACTTCCTAGAATTTATTTATTATAAACTTAAGGATTATTCTTTAAATAATCTGTAACCCTGCTGGCTGATCGCTCCGAGCACGCCGCAAATCTCTGGAATAAATCAACTCAGAAAAGCTCAAATAAGTTTTTAATGTTATTTTAATTAGCAGGTATGACATAATTTAAGTTTCCAGGCTTGTTTTTCTTTCGTATCTCAGTTATTAAAGCCAACGTTCTGGCAGACAATAATTAAATTAAGCTGACACGATACTGTAAAAGACTATTTAATTGTTGAAGTACCCAGGTTCCTTTAAACATGTAATTGCTTAATTACGCGTGTATTCACTTAACATTATTCAGACTTTTTTTTAACTGCACTGCTCATCACAGAAGGCAAAACCCAACCTATAAATCTCAAATTTTAATTTAATTTAATTCAGCGCCCACTCAAATAAAATCCCAACCGCTTCGTTAGCGCTGCTCTGTGCCCGTCTGACCCCCTCGCAGCTCGCTAAGCCCAATAATCCATCAGTGCTGACGAGGGCCCACCAGACTAAAGCACAACGTTACACTTTATTAGTCAAAGAAACTGATTTTTAT